TACCATTTTAGAACTAATTGTGAAACTTCATAACTTAAGCACATTTTTTAGACGTCTCTCAAATATCTAAAAATTTATTTTACTGCTTTCCAATAAACTTTTCTCAGATTAATAAAAAATCTACTTACTACACCAACTGCATAAGCAATGTCAGGCAATGTACAAACTATAAGATACATTAAAAAATCGATTGCAAAAGAATAAAGAATATTAGACATAACTGGTTGCTCTTTCTTAGACATCGGATAAGATTTTTTACTCAAATGAAAATGGTTGATAAATGAATTGCTAACTGATTTAGCATGTTGTATGTTAAATCTACTAAGTACCCTTTCAATATACTTTTTCTGTGACAACTACAACTTTTCAGCTCTTCTATCCCGGATAATTTTCATATCGAGAATCTACTTTACTGGACCTAAATCTTTCATGTCAAAAGACTTAGATAATTGTTCTTTCAACTTACAAACCATACTAGCATCTTATCTTACAATCAACATATCATCAATATATAATAAGAAAATAATAAAGTTACCATCAGAGAATTTTTTTACATATATACAAGGATCCGCTGTCATTTTTTTATAACTGTGACTCATCATAAAAGAATTAAACTTCTTGTGCCATTGTCACAGAGCTTGTTTCAAGCCATTCAAGCTTTCATTTAATTTGCAAACTAAGTGCTCTTTCGCTTTTACTTCAAAATTTTTAAGCTGATTTATATAAATGTCTTCTTGTAAGTCACCATGCAATAGTGCAGTTTTAACATCAAGTTGCTCAAGCTCATGATTCAAACTAGCTACTAATCTCAATACCACTCAAATGAAACTTATCTTCACAACTAGAACAAAAATCTCTTTAAAATCGATGCCTGATTTATGAGAAAAACTTTTTACTACCAAACAAGCTCTGTACCTCACTAATTTATCATCATCTTTTTTTAACTTGAATACCCATTTATTTTTCAACGGCCTCTTTTCTTTTAAAAATTTAACAAGATCATAAGTATTATTTTTTCGTAATAACTATATCTCTTCTTTCATTGCTTTTAATCAGTGCTCTTTATTTGTAATAGTCTACACATCTTGGAAGCTCTCTGACTCCCCTTCATTGATAACTAAAATAAAATTTAAACTTGGATACCTAGTAGATAGTTTGTGCTCTCTCATAAATCTCATAGGCTGAAACTCTACATCACCTGATGCTGAAAGTAGCTTCTCTACTCAGCACTCTCAGGTAGAGAGGATTGCTCTCTTTATTCAAAACTAATTGCATTTGGGTCATCACTAACTGTAACTGGCTCATTCATATCTTCAAGTTCTGTTTCTTGCTCATTTTCATCATCTGTGGCTCTTACTTGTGAAACTTCTGTCGGTATTGAAACATCACATTTAATAGTAACTCGTATAGTCTTTTCATTTTTTTCAAGGTCTATTATGGTTTCTTTTTCATGAAAGACCACATCTCTGCTTTTGATTATCTTTCTTTTCACTAGATCCCATATCATGTAGCCAAATTTCTCATCATTATATCTCACAAACATACACTGTATGCTTTACTATCAAGCTTTGACCTCTATTCTTTCGGTACATATATAAATACTTTACACTTGAAAACTTTTAAATGAGTATGAAGTATCTTTTTCTATCAACACTTTTTTTGAAATGTCAAAGCCCAAAGGAACTGATGGTGATCTGTTAAGCAAATAACAAGTTGTGTTGATTGCTTCACCCCATAATGGCTTTGATAATTTTACCATCTTCAACATACATCTTACTCTTTTCATAATAGTGCGGTTCATCCTTTTAGCTACATCATTATACTATAGTATTTCAGGTTTTGTCATCTCATGCTTGATCTCATACTTTGAATTGTACCCTTCAAAATCTTTAGGTGTATATTCCCCACCATTATCAGTTTTAATATACTTCAAAGATAATTCTGTCATCTTTTTACCATGACATGAAATTTTTAAAAATACTGCAGTACCTGACTTTTGTATTTTAATATATACACCCAAGTCTTACGTGAAGTATCATCAATAAAAGTAACAAAATACATACTACCACCTAATTACTCAACCTCAATGGGATCACATATATCAAAATAAATCAATTTCAATCTATTTTCTTTTCTTTGAGAACTCTTATGAAAAGAAATTCTATGATGCTTACCAAATAAATAATGATCACATGAATCGAGAAACATACCTTTGATCAAGGGAATAAGAGATTACCTTATCAAAACTTGTAACCCCTTCTCATCATATGTTTCAGCCTCTTGTACCATAAGTTTGCTAAAACATTATTTTCAACAGCATTTATCTAGTTGTCGTTCAATTGCATCCATGTCTTATACATTATACAGCATAGCTTTTACTGTTCATTTTTTTATCAACTTTCATATCCCTCTTTATCAAGGACATTAATAGCAAGCAAGTTCATTCTCATATCCAAAATGTGTCTGACATCTCTCAAAGTCAACATGCATCTTGTACTAATTTGTACAATAATATCACCAATTTTAACAATTTATGACACACTCTTGTTTTCAATTTTAGTGCAACTAAAGTCTTTTACTTTGTAAGTTGTAAACAACTATCTCTTAGAAATACAATGATATGCAGCTTTTGTGTCAACTATCCACTTAATGTTGAGATCACCAACATGATTACAATCACCATGTGTACAAATCAAAGTAATTGAATTATTATCTGAATTCATTGCTGTAACATTACTATAATTTGAACTCTTATTTTTTTCATCTTTTCGCTTTTACTTCGAGATTTTACAGTATCATTTTATATGACCTGCCTTACCACAATGAAAACACTTCATTTTATCTCTAGATTTGGATCTATGTTTGACTTACTACAGCATTTTAAATTTTGACCTTTATCGATGTTTCTACTCTTATTCTCTATGATTAGAGCTTGATTCTCATGGTCTACATCTTTTTGCCTTGCTTTTTCAAGCATACTGTCCTTTATCATCTCCAATATCATCTTATAATCAGAAGCTGAATTAAGAATAGTTACAACTAGAGTATTTCAGCTGTCTGACAATGAACCCAAAAGAAATAACGCCTTTATTTCATCATCCATCTTAAGTTCCATAGTAGTCATCCAATTGGACATGTCTTGAAAATCACTAAAGTACTCTGTAATTGATCGTTCATCATTGTACTGTAAAGTTACAAGCTTTTTAACAAGCATAACTTTATTCATATATTTTTTCTCTCATACAATATTGTCAATTTTTTTCAAACAATGTGGGTATCTGCTTCTTACACTGCATGATGAAATATACTAATATCAATCTATTTTTTGATTGTAGCCAGCATCTTTTTGTCTAACTTCTTTCAACTTTCATCTTTCATATCTACTGGTTTAGTCAAATCATCAAATATCGACTCATACAAATCTTTGTAGTATAAATGATCTTCTATCATAAGCTTTTAAATTAAATAATTTGATACTGTCAATTTTATCATGAAACTTGTATCATCTTTCATGATCTCAAATAGAATTTTCTTCTGTCTTAAGCTATTTTTGTATCGTTATCTCAAAATAATCATCGCTCTGATACTACTTGTTAGGCTTGAAGTAATAAACACAATAATACAGAAGCAATATATCGCAATAAATTCATAATAATAGACAACAATTAACAATGTAAAAAAAATAAAAACACACTAAGATTTATGTGAAAAATCCTCTAGTGTAGAGAAAAAAATCACGCACCACCAGAAAAATCTCCATTATTAAATAATTGATATACAAAATTTTTCTCTAGTTAAAACTAGAGCTAATTAACTACTAGAAAGATAATTGAAGAAATCTCACCAAATAGGTGACTCAATAAATACACTTAATTTATTCTTAAAGAGCTTCAAACTCGATCTTTATCATTCAGAATGTAGAACTCTGAATCATAAATCTATTGATAAAGTTTCAACTCAATTGGACCACGGATCGATTTTCATTCAATTAATTCTCTTTTCTCTTTTTTCTTTCTCTTTTTTTTTATTTTTTTTCTTTTCTTGATTTGTGATACCATTTTAAAATAACCTCTACTTCCTTTTATTAAATAGTTAAAATTCTATATAAAAAAAATCAAGACTTATGACTTTTATTTAATCTAAAACTAATTACATAAAATTGGATCTCATTTTCTTAACAAATACATTACTTTGAAGAAAAGAGAAATAGAGATCAGATAAGGTTCAAAACTTTGCGAGATGTTAGATATGGTTATTGCTAAAGTTCCTAGCTATCACATCAAAGGAGAAAAGCACACAACAGTATTTTTTACCTTGAGAGAGCCAGCAGAACACCAAGACTTTGGAAATTCCATGAATGGTGGACATTTTTGAACACCCCCCCCCCCCCCCCCCCTTCCCTGATTCACTTGTCCATTTGATATTGACGACAACTGCAGAATCACCACGCTCTTATTGAATGTGTGGTTGGGTCAATCAAATTCTGATGCTGCTAAAATTTACTATTGATTGGCGGCCATTTAGATTAAGATTGAGATGATTTTATAGGTAAGCTAAAACCCGTTGACAAGCTTGTGACAAAAAAAAAAAGCCTCAGTTTCACATGTCACAATATCACATGATTTTGGGTCCTTTTAGTTTTGCAAAAGAACAGAAGTCTACCACCACAATAACATCCCATTTCCTTCCCCCGTCTTACTTCAATCTGTTATGTTCAGATTATTTCCACTATTAAAACCATTTTTTTTTATTTTGGTTAAGCCTTAATTTGTGTTGAACTTCTAAAACTTCTGGCCTTCTAACGTCAAGAACTTCCATAAACCTCTTTTGCCAAACATGGTGTAACATTAGCTTTTAACACAGCAGATGAAATACTGACGGTCCCATATCTTGGATCATCATCCGATCTTCCAATTACTGGCATCATCGTAATTCTTACTCAATTCCTAAAATTAGGAAAGAAAATGAAAAGAAAAGAAAAGAAAATGACAACGCTCTGTTTTTAAAAGAAAACCAAAAAAGAAATAAAAAAACATTGTTATTTGATTATAGGCTTCGTCAGCTTCTGTTTCCCTCTGCAAACAAACACTCGTCCTTCCTACAAACAAAAAATTATGGCAACTTTCTCTCTCTACAATTCTTCCCTCTAACACATCCCCACTTTCTCTCTGTGTCTCTGATCCATCGAATTCTTCATCTTTTTTCTTCCTTTTCTTTTCATTTTTCTTCTTCTTTGATCCATCACTCTAAGACTATCCTTCAAAGTCTTAAAACTTTCCTCCCTTTTCCAAGAAACTCAATCTAAAATTCACTTCCTTTGATCAAAAAAACTTGGTGGGGTTCTCAAAATTTTTAATATCCAAACCTTAAAAACCCCATTTTCTTTTCAACGCATTTTTGCTCACAAAGTGAAAAAGTTCAATAAAGGGTATTGTTTTTAAGGGAAATGAGGGATGTTTTCATGGTTGGCAAGGATAGCTCTCGCTTGTTGGAGACCAGTGAATCGATACGCCCTTATGAACAAGGATAATAATAAAAATAATAATGATGATGATGATGAACTCGAAGAAGATTCGTCTTCTTTACGTGATTCACTTCTTTGGTGTAGAGACCTTGAAAAACACTCTTATGGTGATTTCTCCTATGCTGTTGTTCAAGCCAATGAGATCATTGAAGATCATAGTCAAGTTGAGACTGGAAAAGATGCTACTTTTTTTGGTGTCTATGATGGACATGGCGGCCCTGATGCTTCTCGCTTTATCTCTGATCATCTCTTTCAAAATTTGATTGGTCAGTTGCCTTTTTATACTTTCAAAGTTTGGCTATTTTATTTGTTTCTTTTTTTTTTTGGGGGCAGTTTTTCTTTTAAACACTTTCTATCTTAGTGGATAATTGTTTATGTCTTTTAGGAATTTTTTTTATGAGTGGACGCTTTTTTTCCTTTTTTAATTTGGGGTTTATTATTGTTGCTTTTCTTTCTGTCGATTTGTTCTAATTATGTGTTTCCTGGATGAATTTTCAGGGAATGAGTTAAGTTCCTAGGGATTTTTTATCCCTACTGTTATGTCATCGTTGTAGTTTTTCTCTATTTATGGTGGTATTTGTGACTTTGATGGGTGGAATTTTTGTGGTTTGTCTTTTCTCTTTAAAGAAAAAACTTTTCTTCAGTCTCAATTTTTGGCTATCTTTCTTCTAATATTAACATCTTGACTGTATTTTGAGCATCTTGAAGAATTCTTTGCTTAGAGTTTTCTGGATTGTTATGTGTCTGATGACAATATATTTGTTTATTTATTTATTTTCTTTTCCCTTTTTTTAATGTAGTTTTTGTTGCTATCCGCACTAGTTTTTTTTATTGCAGTAGCTGTGATAGATGCTGGTTTACGGTAATGAATTTGTATTTGTCTGTTTGTCTATTTTCTTGGAACGTACTGCAAATATGATGTGATGTCATACTGAGTTTGATTTTATTTGGAATTCTTGGCAAATGAAAATTTTGTTTTTAATTTAAATCTATTATGACTAAAATATAATGTCAAGTTGTCAACAAAGAAAGCAACTTACAGTTGACTCTGGAAACTCAACATTCGCTTAACAAAGTTAAGAGTGTTAAATTCGGTCATTGGAATTTACTTGAGACCAGACATCAGATTATTACAAAGTCAGAGTAAGAGTAATTTTTTTCTCATTTCCTGTGATGCTTCCAAAATCAAAAGAGTAGAGCCTAATTCTGTATGATAAACAAAGAGAATGATGATATATCACTATGTGCTAAATAAATTTACAATTCATATCCCATGGTTCTATAGTTGCTACTACTCTTTACCGTCAGGCAGTCCTACAACAATGAGAATGTTTATGTAAGCTTTGATGGAGATGATTGCTTCCGAATAATTAAACTGTTTAGTTTCTACTGGATGCTTTTCTAGAGATCATTCTCACGTCCTTTCTAATGTTTTTTTAGTAATTCATTCTAGAATGCATCTTACACATCATTCAACAGGGCTTGCTCGAGCAAGTGGAACCATTTCTGAAGATATTCTTAGAAGTGCTTTCTCTGCAACTGAAGATGGATTTCTTACTCTTGTATGTAGCACATGTGGAATGAAACCATTAATCGCAGCAATTGGATCTTGTTGTCTGGTTGGAGTTATATGGAGGGGGACATTATATGTTGCTAATTTGGGTGATTCTCGAGCTGTAATTGGTTATTTAGGTAGATCCAATAAGATAGTTGCTGAGCAGTTGACTAGAGATCATAATGCAAGTATGGAGGAAGTCAGACAGGAACTCAGGTCATTGCATCCGGATGATTCTCATATTGTTGTTATGAAGCATGGAGTATGGCGTATTAAAGGAATCATTCAGGTTTGCTCTCTTTTGTTCATTGTTATCTGCTTTCCATGTTTTATGCCATGATGTATGTGATGTTGTTATTTATGGGGACCACTGCTAGGACACGTAGAAAGGAATGGCCTACCCCTTTTTTCAAAATTGAATCTCTTTGCCTCACCAATAATGTGGCATAATTTGCTGCCTTATGTTTTTAAGATTGTTTGCGATGATTACACCCCAGAAAAAATAAATTCAAGTTGGTTTTGTTTAGTTTTCTGGTCTACGATTATCAGGGGACTTGATGAATATTGTGGTCCTATGGCTATGGAATCACTAAATATCAGATTATTAGTTAAAATGTTGATGTTTTGCTTAGGTTACAGTCAGAACCTTTTACCCTTTTTAATTCAATTCATTGCATATAAAATACCGCAATGATATATGAAATCCGTCACCAGACTTCATTGCTTTTGGATTACCCTATATGTTATTAGGTCAATTTCTTTTTCTCTCTTTTAATCTTAATGAGTTTAGAGGCTTGTTGGTGCCATATATACATTACTCTTAAGTATTTGTAACATGTGGTTCTCATGGTTTAACCTTCCTGTTTTAGGGTTACCTTTTTCTTTTCTTATTTTATGATTTTTTCTGCTTCAGAAATATCACCCTTTATTCAGAATTTGTAGTACTGTCTAGGAGATTATAATAAAGGTTTTTAAGCAAAATTGGAATGTCAAGGAGTCCATTATGTGGTTGGCAGAAACCACCTCAAATCTTGCGTTGCCGGTTGTGCGATATTGATTTCAAAGCAGCCCTAGGAAATTTTCTTTGCTCGTATTAACTGCAATTCTGAGCTATATGTAATTATCTTTACCTCCAGAAAATTGTCCTTTCAAGATATACCATTCGGCATTTTCCTTCTCCACATCTCTTGAGGCTTTCTGGAAAAACGATGGCAGCCTGCCTTTGTTTGAGGTGTTAGCAGCTATATAATCGATGGCCAGAACTATCTTTCTAATGGCAGAGGTGTAATAGGATCCATTTAGGAACTTTTATTAGTGAACTTGTTGCTTTTACTGGTATGGTACGATACGCATATTCGGCAGGCTGTGCACCGTAGTTGGTTCTTAATATGAACGTTTGTATTCAAATTTTCTGATTATTCTTGTACTTGATTCAGAGGGCTATTTGATTCCGGTTTGCTTGCAACACATTTTAGTGGAATTCACTTGTGTTTTTCAGTTTGCTATGTTCATTCTGTTTGCCTATGAACTGGTATCAGGTGTCTAGATCTATTGGTGATGCATACTTGAAGCGGCCAGAGTTTTCTCTTGATCCTTCTTTCCCACGATTTCACCTTTCTGAACCCATTGATCGACCAGTGCTAACAGCAGAGCCATCCTTGTGCACCAGGGTTTTACAACCTAGTGATAAGTTTCTCATTTTTGCATCTGATGGACTTTGGGAACATTTGACAAATCAGCAGGCTGTCGACATTGTTCATAACCATCCACGAGCAGTAAGTGCTATTTTTTGTGCATCTATTGCTTCTCCTTTAACCATTTAACTTTAATTCTCTTATTTCACTCTCGATCTCTCTCCAAAAATGTTAGGGAATTGCAAGAAGGCTCATCAAAACAGCTTTAAATGAGGCAGCTAGAAAAAGGGAAATGAGATATGATGATCTTAAGAAGGTTGATAAAGGGATTAGGCGGTTTTTCCACGATGATATTACAGTTATTGTCATCTTTATAGACCATGAGTCGTCGGATGCAAAGGTGTCTGTTCCGGAGCAGTCTGTCCGGGGGTTTGTTGACACCCTTGGGCCATCGAACTTCAACATTCTTTAAGGATTGATGTATATCGGTAAATGCATTGCCGATCATCTGAATGAATACCTTGTCACCTAAAATAATCAATGGGGTTGTCGCCAAGTTCAGCGAGTTTCTGTATGAATTTACATATTTATTTTTTCAACAGCTGATAGTTGTTTCTGGGATTTTATATTGCTTTTTTCTCACATTACCAAGCAAGAGAAGTTTGTCCTGATTTTCATTAGTTGTATTTATGTTCATATCTGCAACTTACGATGATAACCCCTATCAGAGAAGTTATTTTTTCTTTTTTTTTCCCTTTTATTTTTTTCCACTTCATTTGGTTCCGGATGATGAAGTTGTGTATATTTAGGACGTCAAATTCATATGCCTCGATTCAATAAGAAATTTTTACACTTTTGCCGCAAATTCAACAACATATTTCCATGCAGATTTTGTTGATCAACCATCAAAAAGTGCAAGATTTATAAGGCAGGGGAAAGTGACACTGAAATGCCAAGGGATTGCTTTCCTGCCAGCTAAAAAGGTCAAATCAGAAACAAACTACCCCCAAAGGAATATCGCTTTGGTATTCAATGGGATATTCCAATTTTTATTTTTTTAACGAAATGGAATGTAAGAAATTCTCGTGAAACCAATTTTCATGAACCAAATCAGTAACAATACACAACTCTTCTACAATCAAATAGTAATGTAAAAAAAAAAAAAATGAATCGCTCCATGTTCATCTTCTGGACATCAACAGTGGAAAACAACGGAAAGAAGGGAAAAAAGGAACAAGAGAGGAAAAAATGGATATAAATTTTAAAAAAATAAAAAAGAAAGAAAAGAAAAGATAGAATAGCAACCACTTGATTTATAAGCCTTGCCGTGATACAAAATGTATAGTATATATCTCTTCACCCCACCTCTTGCTTTGCGTAACTAGAAGCATTTCCTGTGGACAATTGATGGCCCGGACTCATCATATTCAGCCTTTGCAATCCACATCTGCACAGAAAATATTCAGTCCAATTTAACTGTTTTTTAATATCTTAAAATCAGGATTTCATGGAATACTATCAATAGAAAATGTTTGGAATGAAGACTGCCTAAACTATTCTCCATGAGGAATCAGTCGCGTAACATGATGGTTTATTGCTATACAGAGCAAGCAGTTCTATCATAATATTATAGTCAACACAATAAATTGCAAGTAGAGAGTCTTTGTATGATAGCTTAAGTATTTGTGTCAAACTAAAGTGTTAACAACAAATTCTAGAATAATAAAGGTGATTCCTGAAACATATTAAAGTAAAACACGAGATTCTAAAGAATTATAAAGGTATATGATTGGTTTTTTGAAGATAAAAGAGACAATACCTGCTGGAAGGTGCTGAGGGATGCTAAAATGGAGCCTCCAATCCAAACACTATATTTCCTCTCTGGTGGTGCAACCACTTTAATCTTCATGCTGCTTGGAGCTAATGCTGTAATTTCCTTGCTCATCCTGTCGGCAATTCCAGAAAACATAGTGGAGCCGCCACTGAGGACAATATTTCCATAGAGATCCTTCCTAATATCAACATCACACTTCATGATAGAGTTGTATGTGGTTTCATGAATGCCAGCAGCTTCCATCCCAATCATGGATGGCTGGAAGAGGACTTCTGGACAGCGGAATCGTTCAGCCCCAATGGTAATAACCTGTCCATCTGGTAGCTCATAGCTTTTCTCCACAGAAGAGCTGGTCTTTGCTGTCTCCAGCTCTTGTTCATAGTCAAGAGCAATGTAAGCTAGTTTCTCCTTCATGTCCCTCACAATTTCCCGCTCAGCAGTAGTTGTGAAAGAATAACCACGCTCCGTTAAAATTTTCATAAGGGCATCTGTGAGATCACGACCAGCTAGGTCAAGACGCAAGATGGCATGTGGGAGAGCATAGCCTTCATATATAGGAACTGTGTGGCTCACACCATCCCCCGAGTCCAAAACAATACCTAAACAATAACCATGCATATTAGGGCAAGACAATGAAACAATTTTGTTCAGAAAAAACAACCGCTTCTATAACAATTCAAAAGTATGCTTGGTAATTAGATCAAGGTATCTTTTTAACATGAGGAATAAAGGATAGCTATAGATAATTTATGGAGTTTATGGATACAGGAAACTGCAGGAGATCTGGCATTCATGTAAGCAAGCTGTTTACCATTGCTATCAAAGTTACAACTTACAAGAGCAATATGTATATAGGAAATCTAAAGTAACATGTTTATATGTTTACAAGATCTCCAGTTTCATACATAACATAAATTTTCTATTAACCCTCTTTGTACATAAATCTTGACCTATGATCAGATGGATAAAATTTCCTCTGCATTATCTTGAACAGACAAGAGGCAGATAGTTGGTGAAAGTGCTTACCTGTTGTACGACCACTAGCATACAAGGAAAGAACGGCCTGGATAGCAACATACATAGCAGGGGTGTTGAATGTCTCAAACATAATTTGAGTCATTTTCTCACGGTTGGCCTTGGGGTTAAGAGGAGCTTCTGTGAGGAGAACTGGATGTTCCTCAGGGGCAACTCGAAGCTCATTGTAGAAAGTATGATGCCAGATTTTCTCCATGTCATCCCAATTGCTAACAATACCATGCTCAATCGGGTACTTCAAAGTCAAAATACCTCTCTTTGATTGAGCTTCATCTCCCACATAAGCATCTTTTTGGCCCATACCGACCATCACACCTGTGTGACGTGGGCGACCAACAATGCTAGGGAAAACTGCTCTTGGGGCATCATCTCCAGCAAATCCAGCCTGAAAAGTTTCACATCAATCAGCATCTAAAACACTGATCAACAAAGCCAACGTGCTTTTCCATAACTAATACTACTATAATCATTCTGCAATAAAAGAAAATGGAAATCAGATGATTGATTACCTTGACCATTCCAGTCCCATTATCACAGACAAGAGGCTGAATATCCTCGTTTTCTGCCATTTTCTATTGCCTGTTTCAGACCCATCCAATACCAACATCAATAATTATATATAATAAACAAGGAATTTGTAAGATGATCTCATATCAGAATCTGATACATCCCATCACCATAAGCTGTTTGTAAGATGTGAGACTATTAATCAACTGAGACTACACAATTTAAAATCCATAGCCGAAAATGACATCATAATTAAACATAAACAATGAATAAGACTAGCATTATTCCTTCCATTACCGGACTTTAAATGAACTTCAATTGACGAACTCAATATGCAAATTTTCGATTCAACTGTTGATCTAACTCCTTAAACCAATAAATTTATGTTTTTTTTTTTTTTTGCTTTTTGAAGAATCAGAGAATTTAACGATAAAATTTCACATCTGTACCATGATAATGCAACAGAGTTATCAATAATTAAACGCAAAACTAAGTAAAAAAAAAAAACAAAATTTTACATTAAAATGATCTTGGAGTCGAAGATCTAAGCATCGAAATCCGATCTACCAAAAAATTGATAGAAAAACTCAGATGAACAAACAAAATTACGATCAGAACAAAAATTTAAATTCAAAATAGAAAATAAAATACCTTTTTTTCTCGATTCTCTCTTCTTCCTTTTTCTTTCTCTCTCTTTCTTGCTGTTTAAACGGACGGTTGAGTTTGAGGGGATTGTGCGGTTAAGGTACCCGCCCTCCTCGTTTTTAAAAAAGAAAGGTGGTGCAAATGAAACTCCGTTCCAAATGTAAATTCACCTCAAATTCGATTTCGGCAGATCTTGGCCGTCCGTTTCCACTGTCCCCATCTACGGACCCCATTTCTCGTCACGTTCATGGTGGAAACAGCTGGCTCCCTTTTGGTTTACCCATTCGTGTGGACGGATCTACCCCTCCCTCTTTAAATTGATTGACCATTTTGTATTACAAGGCGAAAATAAAAATTTTCTTTAACTATAATATAAGAAAAATCAACATGTTAATATATTTAATTAAATTGATATGTAACCAACTTTTTAAAAAATATTACAACAATTATTATGAAATATTTTTCATTAAATGATAATCCAATTGTTTACTAAAAATAAAAAAAACCATTATATACTAGTGCATCTTTTGTGGTATTTGTTATGAATTATTATGATATACAAAAATTTATTATAATTTGAAATATATTATAGAGGTATTTATTTTATGATATAAATTTTTTCTAGCAATTAAGATCTTTTATAAATTATTTTTAATTAAAAATTAAGTTTACTTTTAATAATACTTGTAATTTTGTTTGATTGAACTAAGCATTTGAATTGGCCAAAAAAAAAAAAATTAAACATTTGATTTTCATTCAATTATATGGAAAGTCTATGATTTTGAAAATGTTGTTTTGATAATGATGATGGAATTTTAGATCCCTTGAAAAAAATTAGAGTTTTAGTGATTATTATACTTTTTATATAAAATATATCATTAATCGAAAAATAAAAAATAAATTAAAATATTAAAATTTAATTTCTAACACGATTAATTATTATTTTATTATATATGTTAACTAAATTAAATTTAATTTTGCATTCATTTTTACTCAATTTTAACTCAACTGAGTTAATTTCATTATTTTCATATATCTTTTAATTCATTAAAGGGCAAATTAGTCCTGAAAAGGGCCCTACTAAATAAAGAAAAATTTTCAAATTAAATTCCATTTTGGCCACTTTATTGTTGGACTAATTATACACACATGATCATCATGAAAAAAAAAAAAAAGAGGTAATCTGCCAACTCAGCATTCCGTTCCCAACTGTCCGCAGTTGATGTCAGCCTTTATTTTTATGCAACTGCGGTCACTTCTACATACACTTGTCTGTTCCTCCTATATTATCAGGTTTCTAAAAGCGGATCAACGTTGACCATCAAACCGTTGGCAGGATTAGCGGAAGGTTTGGCGTTTGATTGTGTGTAAGCGTATAAAACGTGCAACGCATTACCGTTATATGAAAACACACAACATGGTCCCATCTTTTTTCTTAGTTCAACGTTTGATATTTTTTTTAAAATCACCGTAATAATATAAACAGTGAGGTAATTTTATTCCTAAAATAAATTTATTATTTATGATTTGAAATTATTTTGTTTAGTTAATAATTATTAATTTTTAAGAATTAAAAATTATTTTATTTAGTATTATTAAAAATTAAAAATTATTTTATTTAAAAATACAAAAATAATCATAAACATTGTAATAGGTAAATAAGTTAATGATTTTTAATGTTATTTAAAGAGAATAATTTGTAAAATATTAGCAATATTTTATTTATTTTTATAATAAAATATAATTAAATTATTAAAATAATAAATATTTTTATTGATAAATAAATAAATTTTAATAATATAAATTATGTAAAAAAACAATTGAATTAGAAAATAAAATTAATCTATTAAATTCATAATAAAATAAAAATAGTATATTACATAACAATATTTAAAAAATACATTAATTATATTTGAATTTGTTACATTGAATATTAGTTAGAAAATATAAAAATTTATAATATAAAATAACTACAATTAATTTTGAGAAAAATAAGTTTTTAATTTACATATTAAATAAGTAATATTGATTATTTTTAATTTTGTATATTACTTCATCTCGATAATAAAAGTTTTTTATCTCTTTGGATAGAAATTAAAAATAATATATTATATGTAAAAATATTAAATAAATAAAAATACACAAATTATATTTGAATTTGTTATAATGAATATTAGTTAGAAAATATAAAAATTTAAAATAAAAAATAACTACAATTAATTTTGAGAAGAAATAAAATTTTAATTTATATATTAAATGAATAATATTAATCATTGTTAATTTTGCATATATCTTTATCTTGGAAATAAAAGTTTCCTATATCTTTGTATAGGAATTAAATCATCTTTTAAAGTAGTGATTTAATTACTCTTTGTGATTCAAGATTATCGTCACATAAAATCATTAAGTGGTTATCAAACACGATAATCTAATTATCATGTATAGATTGCAATAATTTTTTCAATGATCATTCCATCTCAAATATCTACTTGGAGGTTTAACCACTCCATTTTTTTCTCAAAAGAATTGGAAAATATAATTACTCATTTAAACAAAAAAAGCTTATTGGATTTTTTATTTCACCATTTCATGCCTTTAAATTCAAATGTTAAAATTTAATTTTTTTATTTTTCATAAAAAAGTTTTAATACAATAATATATGTGTGTATTCTTTAATTTTACAGATACTGTTTTCTTTGTTATAGTTGTGTGATATAGTGATAAAGTTAAATTTTTAGTTCAAATCTTAACTGCTTCAAATTCAAAGAAATTATTATTTTCTCTTAAATGAATGTTTACACTCTTAATTTTTTATAATTTTAAATATAAAAAAATTTGTTGTTTAGTTGATCAAATTTAATAAGTGAAAATAAAGTATTTTTTAATTTTTTAAGATATTTTTTAACAAAAAGAAGTTATAATATGAAGATAGAGAAAATGTTGTAAATAATTGAATTTGAATATCAAATTTGTTAAATATGAAGATGATTATATGTACTAATTAAATTAAACTCTATATACTTCCTTTTTTTTTTCTTTTAATTACTACTAACCTTTTAGTTTTAATAATTAAAATTTAATCTTTGATTATTTTAAATATATAAGGAAATCAGATTTAAACTTCATTAAAAAAAAAAAAAAAGACTTGAAAACCTATATTAGTTTCTTGGGTTGACATTTTCTACTTTTAACTAATCTAATTAGATTAGTTCTCCCACAAAAACAAAGTTTTACTTTAATCATGCTCAACATGGAATGAAAATAATTAAGGTATCAAAAGAGAAGCCTTTTGGGCACATCTTTATTCATGTGAACATCTCTACCTTTTAGATTATGGCCGGCTATCATCTCATAATCGGTCCCGCACGAATGCAAAGAGAAAACTTTTTTTTTTTTTTTTTTGCTTCGTTGGATTGAGGTCACCACTCACATCTCAACTTCCTGGAGTGATCCAGCTAAATATTGCAGGAATGGGAGCTTTCCTTGTTTTAAAGTTATATATATGGGTTTCTAAGTAAAAGTGAAGTCACATGCTATAGTTTATTTGCCGTTTCATTCAAATTTAGTTGACTCTCAATTGCATATGGTTAAGGTTGGTTGCAGGTTTTAAACCCAAATTGAAATTATTATGAATTTCGCTTTATATTATTATAAATTTAATTTTTTTTTTTTGCAAGAAGACATAGTCTAAAAATTAAAAAAAAAAAAAGGATTGTAAATATTATGATTCAAACTCTATGATATATTTAATGTATAAGATTATAGTTAGATAAGATAAAATGATATTATAAATATGATAAAATTAAATAATATCATATTATCTTGTATTCGATATGTGCAAAGATTTGGATAGAATAATTTATTTATTGATCAAAATTATTTTTTCTCAAAATTTATATAATTTAACTTATTAATGTAATTTTTAAAAAAATACAATAGGATATATAAGTTTAATCCTATGAATTAATAATAATTATCTTCAATTTGAAAAGACTGAATCATCCTATACCAAAATCTTCTTTATAATCATATCCCTTTCTTTAGATATAAACAAGATAAAATATAAAATAATTATTATTCTATCATGTCCATTATCCTATACACTAAATATAATTTAAGGTCATGTTTGGTATATAAAATGATAGATAGAATAGTTTGATAATCATTTTATATTATGTTTTATTTGTATATAATTTAAAGGTATAAAATTATAAGAAGGATTATCATCATCTTGGTGTATAATGATTCAATCCTCTCAAAGTGGAATGAATTTATTTTTTATATCTTTAAAAATTATATCAATAATTTAAATTGAATAAACATTAAGTAAGAATAATTTTGACTAATAAATAAATTATTTTATTTTAATCTTTACATATATCAAACATAAGATGTGATTATATTATATAATCTAATCATATTTATAATATTATTTTATCTTATCATATTATAATTTTATATACTAAATATAACCAAACTTACTAAATATCATTTTTTTAAATAATTATATAAATTACTTAAATTAAGTTCGATTTATTACAAATTTGATAGAGCACATGCATGTTTATATTCTCAAATATTCTTACCTTTAAAAAGAAAAAATAGATTTTAAAATGATCATAATTGCTTGCTTTACAAATCAAACTAACATTAACAAATCTTGTTTTTAGGATCGATCCAGAATGAATGGTCTAAAATCTTGACATCAGTAACATGACTGTCTATCCGGACAATGTTCATCTTTAACTAGGCTTGTCCAAGACAATTTTCTCATGAAACTGACGTTAGCATTTGTCAGAACTTATACTTCAAATCTTTTTAGCATTTGTCATTGTAATATCTCTGGAGTTTTTGTTAGAACATTTAGCTTAGGTTAATTAGTTGGTAGGAAATTTAGCCATGACTTTGAAGAGAGTTTTAATTCGGTTTTCACCAACCTTGCATTCAGTGTGGCTTTGCCTAGAAGTTGTCGGTTTTCAGGCTTTGGCTGTCCCTCTTATGCCTTAACAACGAAACAGACAATCAAATGCATCAATTGCACCAAAACTTAATAGAAAATTGCTGAGTGGCAGTCAGTAAGTCCGATGATGTTAGCTTTGAGAAGAATTAAAAGTTCAGTGTG